AGAAACTACTCCTGGACCATAGACAATACATCTGAACCATAGAAACTACTCCTGGACCATAGAAATTACTCCTGGACCATTTAAATTATGCCTGGACCATAAAAAATACACCTGAACCATAGAGAATACACCTGAACCATAGAAACTACAGCTGGACTATAGAAACTATATCTGAACCATAGAAACTACACTTAGGCAATAGAAACCACACCCGATTTTAAAAAACACATATGGTCAATAGAAACTATGCCTGAATCAGAAACTACACCCGGACCAGTCATTCTGTGTTTGTATACGTCTCTTTCCAGTCCCTTTAACCTCTTGACAGTCGAGGTAGACGGTCGTCTTATACCGAGCCTGGTTCTGCGGCAGGTTTTTTTTTTTTTTTTACTGTTAAAAAAGTCATTTCTTTCCACGGTTGCCATCTTGATGTTCAGGATGGGAGACTGTGACGAAGTGAAGATTCAACCCAGTCCGCTGGTTTCCTTAGATAAATAACTTTCACCAGTGGGCATTTTATGTTAGTGAATGTTTAGTACAGCACTCTGAGACGACTTTTGCTGTGAACTGGTGCTTTTTAAATAAACTAAATTTAAGCGAGTAAAAAATTATAATCAGCATTTTTGCGAACGGCTATAAAATCGAGCTACGTACAACAGGTAAGATCATTAGTTCACTGTTTTTGCACAAAGCCCAACTTCAAAAGGTCTAAACCAGGAGTGTCCAGTCCTGGGGGTTACTATCCTGCAAGTTTTAGATGTTCCTCTGCTCCAACGCACCCGATTTAAATTAATGGGAGATTAAAAGGCTTCCGAAGAACGTGAAAGAGAAATTCAATCACTGAACCAGGTGTGTTGGAGCATGCACACAGGTAAAAAAAGTTTTGACATCCGTACGCCTAGACAAAAACAAATGTCAAGAACTCTTGTCAGCCATGAGCTGCAAAGTATTAAGTACTTTCCAACTGCTTGGTATTTAAAGACTTTTCCCACCAGGCACCAATGCATTCATAATAAATGTTAATATTGTTTTACATGAAAGAACGTTGTTCGCGTCAGCATCGTTGATCTTTAATGTAATACATGAACACCAACACACGGACCCTTCAACTGTTTTAAAACAGAATATCATATTTTAACCACGTTCACAGGACACCGATGTCCGACGAAACAAAAAATGGGAACAAACGTGTAAAAAAGTGTCTTACTAACCCATTCATCCATTCATCTATTACCTTTACCTGCTTCGTCCTTTTTGGGTCACTGGTGTCCATGTCCAGCTATCTCTGCGCGAGAGGTGGGGGACACCCTGGACAGGTCTCCAGTCCATCACAGGGACACATAAGAGACAATCATTCTCTCTCACTCACACCTAGGGACAATTCAGTTACCAGTCAGCCTAACATGCATGTTTTTGGTCTGTGGGAGGAAACAGACCCCAAACTCAAATATTAATATTTTACGGTTTAAACATGACGGACATATTCACAATGAGAAAGAGGTGGACATAGAAGGGATTTTGCTTTATTTTCAGACTTGTAAAGAAATAAGTTACTTTAAATGACAGCGAGGAAAAACAAACAAATTCTACACGAATGTATTTCTTTAAGCCAGGGGTCTGCAACCGTTACAATCAAATGAATCATTTTTGCAACATTTTCTTGCTAAATAAAAAAAAATATCCAGAGTCACATTGAAGTTTTATACTAAGACAACAGAACTCATTAGTTGTTTTAGGAATGCTTCATTTAAAAACCATTGGTTATTACCGGTACATTCTAAAACTTAAGATATGTAATAAAATTGGACGTTTGTTACACATTAGGACCAAGAAAATGACCAAACTGCTGTTCATAAATTTTAATAAATGAACTGTATGAGCTCATGGAGGTCCTGTATATATAATAGTTGGAAAAATAACTAATGTATTTAATCAAACTGTTACAGTAATTAGGCTAGTTTGACGAAACATCAAATTGACGTACTGATTTTTTTTAAATGCCAACAGCAGAAACCTTTCAGGTTTTTATCAAAAGGAAAGTCTTTTCCAATTATTTACCACAACGACATGCCATATTTTTATAAAATACTCCATTTCAGGGACTGGTAATATAGTTTGTGTGCAAAACTGCACTCATAATTTATTTTTCCCTTAATAACCAGCTGCAAGTGTGTTGAAAATGATGCGACTTTAAGAATAAAACTAATCACCTTGCGTGGCAATAAGGGATGAACGAAGCAAGTTCATACATTATCCTCTACAGATTATTAGTACTTTTGTCAGATGTTTTACTCATAAGCTTGAACAGAAAAACGTTTATAATAATTTCTATGTTAGTTTTTGGATCAAAGCTACAAAGAGACATTGGAAGGGGACTAAAACTACCGTAGGTTGCAGACCGCTGCTTTAGGCCTTCAAACACAAAATGCATTGAAGCTTCAGAAACGTTCATTTTCTATTAATATTGCAAATCTACTTCCACAAGAAAAAAAGATCACAGTCAAACGCATAAAAAAAAAAGGGATAACTTTCACAGAAACCGTTTTTAAAGAAAGTTAGGGATGTTCCAAAACTTAATACCAGCAGCAGAATTTGGGGACACATCTGACAAGAGACCACCGTGAAGTTCGCAACTCAAAAAGCTCAGGGTCCATGTGCACGGATAAAAGGTTGTGCTATTTTAAATTAAACGGGTCAAAATTCAGTGTTGCATGTGTGCTACAACTGCACTCCCATAGCTCCAGGTTAAATCGCACGAGTTAATGTCTGCTTATAAACATCTACAGTCATTACAGGTTTAGAGACTACCGGTACCTGTGGCTTTCTCCTATATAATATTCAACATTCTCAAGATTTATGGAATTTGGTATTGAGAACCATGAAACATCCATAACAGTACTGGCTGTCAGTTTCACCACAGTAACATAACTTCCAAAAGTAAATACTGTTCGTCAAGTTTTTTTTATTCATCTTCTCTTGAAGTTATGTAAGTTGCCTACGCCCAAAGGCTTCTCAGGGCACAGTTTAAAAAGTCTGCAGACTCCACATTTACAAAACAAACAAAAAGCACAATTCATTCAAACTAGAACAAAAAATTATGTTAAAAATTAGTCGAATGAATATTGCAGGTATCGGATAAAAGGTACTGCCATTCCATCAACCAAAAATACAGATACCCTAAAATGACGAAAACCTCTCCATCAGCATAGAGGCGTAGGTGTTGGGGAAACAAGAGCGCTTTAGGAGAACCAGGACGGGGTGGAAAAATGGCAACGGGCACACATTCATGGGAAGTCAATATCGACGCCGCTTGCTGTTAGGGCCATCAAAGACACCCCCAACCGGACTGCCCAAGCCAAATCCTGATGTTGGTCCAACCTGCTGCCCCAGGGACTGCTGATGTTGCTTTGGGGACTCAACATCTGGTCGACCCCCCATTGATCCACTTTGGGCGTATCGATCATTCCGCTGAGGTGAGCGTTGCGGAAGAATTGGAATAGTTTGTACGAGTTCATTTGGAGGTATGGAAGACGTTTTTGAGGGCGATGAAAAACAGTTATTCCAGGGAAAAGGTGAACATCGATATCAAACAAAGAAAAGGGAGTTTTCAAAAGTTTGGTCAGAGTTTGATCCAAGTGTCGCCATCCAAGAGAGGAGAGCCACGCAGACAAGGAAGCAGAGAGAAATACAAGTTAGTTTGCTAAAATGTACTTACTAAAATCACACCTAAAGCTAGACCTATTATGAACTTGACATGGAAATGTAATGGGGTGTTTAAATGATGTATCTTTCAAAGCCAAATGCCGATTTTCCTGTTTGTGAATATTTTTGTGAAAGTTGAGGTTTGGCCAAAACATTACCATAGCTCCATTCTCTGACATCAATGGCGTTCCCGTATTTGCGGTTCCTTCCGGGCCAATGGCTCCTCCCCTTCCACTTACGCCCATCATTTGACCTTGGTTACCACTGGGCCCTGCGGAGGCCTGGTTATAGCCATCTACACGCAAAACAACGAGTTATGGGTTTAATTTTGGTAGTTCAACGTAAACAAATCACTTATTTATAGCCGACTATTACAACTTCTCTTTTTGTGGTCAAAAAAAGTTTACGTTGGCTTTCAGTCGAAAGTAGTCGAGACATTTTAGCAAAAGTTGCCAAAACTCAATGCTTAAAAGTAAATTTACGTAGTCGACAAATATTTCATAAAGAAAATAAAAATGTATTCTATGACAACAAACTGTTCTTTTATATTTTGTGTCGTTTTAGAATTGAACATTTGATGTGAAAACAGCTTATGAACACGGCAACGCCTAAAAGAACGGTGCAGTTCAAGTTTCGCGATAAAGCATCAGTGCAAATTAAGTCTGCTTACTACCAAGAACCAAAAACCAACGTCACTTTATATTTACAACCGTTATGTTCTAGGATAGTAGGGAAGATGTGTGACGAACAGCAGAATAACCGCTGACAGGGAGCACTTGTGGTCATGAGATGATGTCTGAGTCTCTATAGGAACCAACCACCGAATTGCACATCACCCTAACTTTAGACAAATGCATTGAGTATTCAAATACAGGAGGAAGGGGGCTGAACACTGAAAATTTCAATCCTGCCTTATTATGATCCCAAGTTTAAAATCAGATGGATTCAAATGGGTATTACTTGAAAAGCTGAGAGTTTGAATACATTATACTTGCAGATTTACCAACAGCTACTAGGCACCACTATGAAATTTTGACAGTGTTATGACCTTGAGCAAAAACACCACAATTTCACTGGATCATGGTTTAAAACAAAAACACAAACCATATTAAGATGTACTACATGATGTAATGTATCAATTTCAAATAAATGTTTACAAAAGTCTACTTTAGTTAAGGTACACCAGATCGAAGGAGCTTAGCACAGATAAGCAGATGTTCGCCAGTAAATTAGTCGTTAAAGCAAGCCAGCAGTAAGTTGTTTATTTTACCATATGCCAACTCTTGTAGCTTGTTGCAAACATTATTTCAAAACAACATAAATAAAAAATGTGATGAGTGTCATTCGTCTGGTAGACAAGCCAAAGCTGTTGGACTTCACTTACCTGCGTAGGGAACCAGCCATATTCAATAAGCTCTTGAGAAGAGTTGGCTATAGAACCACTAAAGTTGATATCAACTATAAAGAAAGTCTGAAACAAAGACCCAAGCTGCCTGTGAGCCTCCGGTAACTAGCTACAGATGGCAAGTTGTGACTGATAATTTACCAAAAATGCTACATTTGTTGAAATCACTGATAAATAATCATTGAAAGACCTGTGAGACCATTGAGCCCTCGTTGGGAGATAGCTGAGCATTCATTAAAATGTCTGCTCCCCTTAAAGGCCACAGAGATGGTTTTTAACCAGTTTAAACTTGATGCAGACCATGGCATCCACAGCATTCACTGAAAATTCATTGAGAAATCGTAGGAAGACCTCGGGGATCATTAAGCGTTCAATGAATTGAACATCATTACCTGCAGCTTTCCCTCAGTGTGGACCGAACTTGGCAAAAAAGGCCTTTTCCTACTCAGCTCCTGCAACCTGAAACACCTTGCAACAGGAACTGAAGTTGTCCTCCCTGATTTATTTAAGGAGTTTCAAACATTTGATAATGTCAATGGAAAAATCAAAGCAAATATGTTCTTGTTTTTATTATTTCACCGTTTTACGGTACCCTGGTTTATTGGTTTATTCACTTCTCTTATTTTAACTGCATTTTTACTGTTGTTTATTGTTGTCATTGTCTCCTGTTTTGTTGTCTGTACTTTATACAATGTATCAAAAAAGTGAGTACACCCCTCACATTCCTGCAGATATTTAACTATATATTTATACTTTAAATCTATAGCAGTGTAAATTTATTATTCCTTCAAAATAAATAGTAAATGGACTGTACTTATATAGCGCCTTTCTATCTTATTTCAAGGTACTCAAAGCACTTTACACTACAATCTGTGCCTCATTTACTCATTTATACAGCACTCTACTAGATCTCTACAAAGCCAAGTGAACAAATCGTTCTAAAGAGACTAATAGGTGCTTTAGATCACATTCATACACTGATGGGACACACATCAGAGGCTATGAAGGGTTCAGTGTCTTGCCCAGGGACACTTGGGCATGCGACTGCTGGTGGATTCGAACCCCAAACTCTTGCATTGGAGGACGACTGCTCTTACCACTCAGCCACAGCCGCCCATAAATAACTCAATATACAGCCATTAATGTCTAAACCACCAAAAGATATGTTTTGGAAAGATCTGGATGAAGTGATAGAGAGTATTCCCAGGGAGGAGAGAGTGGTGATGGGAGCAGACCTGAATGGACATGTTGGTGAAGGAAACAGAGGGGATGAGGAAGTGATGGGTAGGTTTGGTGTCAAGGAAAGAAACCAGGAAGGACAGATGGTGGTGGATTTTGCCAAGAGAATGGAAATGGCTATAGTCAATACCTATTTCCAAAAGAGGGAGGAACATAGAGTGACCTATAAGAGTGGAGGAAGGAGTACGTAGGTCGACTACATTCTGTGTAGAAGAGGAAACCGGAGGGAGATTGGGGACTGTAAGGTTGTGGCAGGGGAGAGCTTGGCCAGACAGCATCGAATGGTTGTGGGTAGAATGACTGTTGTTGTGAAGAAGAGAGAAAGAGTAAAATCAGAGAAGACCAAATGGTGGAAGCTGAAGAAGGAAGAATGTTGTGAGAAATTCAGAGAGGAGTTGTTAAAGGCTCTGGGTGGTAAGAAAGAGCTTCCAAATGACTGGGCTACTACAGCAACAGTAATTAGAGAGACAGATAGGAAGGTACTTGGTGTGTCATCTGGACAGAGAATGGATGATAAGGAAACCTGGTGGTGGAATAGTGAAGTGCAGGACGCCGTTCAAAGAAAGAGATTAGCCAAGAAGAAATATGACAGTAAGAGGGCTGAAGAGAGGAGACAGGAATATAAGGAGATGGGACGTAGAGCAAAGAGGGAAGCAGCTAAGGCAAAGCAGAGGGCGTACGATGAGTTGTATGGGAGACTGGACACTAAAGAGGGCGAGAAGAACTTGTACCGATTGGCAAGACAGAGGGATCAGGCTGGAAAGGATGTGCAGCAGGTTAGGCTTATTAAAGATAGGAATGGTAATGTGTGAGGAGAATGTGACAGGAAGATGGAAGGAGTACTTTGAGGAGCTAATGAATGAAAAGAATGAAAGAGAAAGAAGAGTAGGGGTCATAGAAACTGTGGACCAGGAAGTGGGAAAGATTAGTGAGGGTGAAGTCCAGAAAGCTCTGAAAAGAATGAAGAAGGGGAAGGCAGTAGGACCTGATGACATACCAGTGGAGGTTTGGAAATGTCTTGGAGAGATGGCAGTGAGGTTTTTGACTCAAATACTCAATGGCATATTTGAGGGTGAGAAAATGCCTCAGGAATGGAGAAGAAGTGTGCTGGTACCCATTTTTAAGAACAAGGGTGATGTACAGAGTTGTAGCAACTACAGGGGAATTAAGTTAATGAGCCACACAATGAAGATCTGGGAGAGAGTTGTGGAAGCAAGACTTAGACGAGAGGTGACTATCTGTGAGCAGCAGTATGATTTCATGCCAAGAAAGAGCACCACAGATGCCATCTTTGCTTTGAGAATGCTGATGGAGAAGTACAGAGAGGGTCAGAAAGAACTCCATTGTGTCTTTGTGGATTTAGAAAAACATATGACAGAGTGCCAAGAGAGGAGGTGTGGTATTGCATGAGGAAATCTGGAGTGGCAGAAAATTATGTTAGACCAGTACAGGACATGTATGAGGACAGCAGGACAGTGGTGAGATGTGCTGTAGAAGTGACGGATAGCTTCAAGGTGGAGGTGGGATTGCATCAAGGATCTGCTCTGAGCCCTTTCTTCTTTGCTCTGGTGAAGAACCGACTAACGGCTGAGGTCAGGCAAGAATCCCCATGGATGATGATGTTTGCAGATGACATTGTGATCTGTGGTAAGAACAGGTAGAAGAGAACTTGGAGAGGTGGAGGTATGCACTTGAAAGAAGAGGAATGAAAGTCAGCCGTAGTAAGACAGAGTACGTGTGTGAATGAGAGGGAGGCTGGTGGAACGGTGAGGCTACAAGGAACAGAGGTCACAAAGGTGCAGGACTTCAAGTACTTGGGGTCTACTGTCCAGGAAAATGGGGAATGTGGAAAAGAAGTGAAAAAGAGAGTCCAGGCAGGATGGAGTGGATGGAGAAAAGTTTCAGGAGTGATTTGTGACAAAAAGGTGTCAGCAAAGGTCAAAGGAAAAGTTTACAAGACAGTGGTGAGACCAGCTATATTGTATGGTCTGGAGACAGTGGCACTGACAAAAAGACAGGGGAAAGAACTGGAAGTGACAGAAATCAAGATGCTAAGATTCTCCTTAGGAGTGACAAGGATGGATAAGTTTGGGAATGAGATCATCAGAGAGGTATAGCACAGGTTGAACAACTGGGAGATAAAGTTAGGGAGGCCAGACTGAGATGGTTTGGACATGTCAAGAGGAGGGACCGTGGGTATATTGGTAGAAGGATGTTAGAAATGAAGCTGCCAGGAAAAAGACAGAGGAGATATATGGATGCAGTTAGAGAGGACATGAAGGTAGTTGGAGTGAGGACAGAGGATGCAGAGGACAGAGTGAGGTGGAGAATGACTCGCTGTGGCGACTCCTCAAGAGGGAAAAGCTGAAAGAAGAAGAATGTCTAAACCACCGGCAACAAAAGTGAGTACACCTCTTAGTGAAAGTTCCTTAAGTGTCAATATTTTGTGTGGCCACCATTATTTACCAGAACTGCCTTAACTCTCCTGGGTATGAAGTTTACCAGAGCTTCACAGGTTTCCACTGGAAAGCTTTTCCACTCCTCCATGACGACATCATGGAGCTGGTGGACATTTGAGGCTTTACGCTCCTCCACCTTTTGCTTGAGGATGCCCCAAAGATGTTTTATTGGGTTTAGGTCTGGAGAAATGCTTGGCCAGCCCATCACCTTTACCCCCAGCCTCTTCAATAAAGCTGTGGTCGTCTTAGAGGTGTGTTTCGGGTCATCATCATGCTGGAACACTGCCCTGCGACCCAGTTTCCGGAGGGAGAGGATCATGCTCTGCTTCAGTATTTCACAGTACATATTGGAGTTCATGTGTCCCTCAGTGAAATGTAACTCCCCAACACCTGCTGCACTCATACAGCCCCAGACCATGGCATTCCCACCAACAGGCTTGACTGTAGGCATCACACACTTATCTTTGTACTCCTCACCTGATTGCCACCACACATGCTTAAGTCGATCTAAACCAAACAAATGAATCCTGGTCTCATCCGACCGTAGGACATGGTTCCAGTAATCCATGTCCTTTGGTGACACATCTTCAGCAAACTGCGGGCTTTCTTATGTACAGACTTCAGAAGAGGCTTCCTTCTGGGATGACGGCCATGCAGACTAATTTGATGTAGTGTGCGGCATATGGTCTGAGCACCAACAGGCTGACCCCCCACCTCTTCAATCTCTGCAGCAATGTTGACAGCACTCCTGCACCTATCTTTCAAAGACAGCATTTGGATGTGACGCTGAGCACGTGCACTCAGCTTCTTTGGACGACCAACGTGAGGTCCGTTCTGAGTGGACCCTGCTCTTTTAAAACGCTGGATGATCTTGGCCACTGTTCTGCAGCTCAGTTTCAGGGTGTTGGCAATCCTCTTGTAGCCTTGGCCATCTTCATGTAGTGTAACAATTCGTCTTGTAAGATCCTCAGAGTTATTTGCCATGAGGTGCCATGTTGGAACTTTCAGTGACCAGTATGAGAATGTGTGAGAACTGTACTATAAAATTGAACACACCTGCTCCCTATGCACACATGAGACCTAGTAACACTAACGAGTCACATGACATTTTGGAGGGAAAAATGACAAGCAGTGCTCAATTTGGATATTTAGGGGAGTAGTCTCTTAGGGGTGTACTCACTTTTGTTGCTGGTGGTTTAGACATTATTGGCTGTATATCAAGTTATTTTGAGGGAAGAATAAATCTACAGCTATAGAAACTGAACACAGACTACTTTTCATTGTGTCAAAGTGTCATTTTGTCAGTGTTGTTCCATGAAAAGATATACTTAAATATCTGCAGGAATGTGAGGGGTGTACTCACTTTTGTGATACACTGTATGTTCTGTCTGGAACAAGTCCCTCTTGCAAATGAGTCGCTGTGGCTCACACAGGCTAGCCTGTATAAATAACGGTTGAATGAATGAATGAATGAAAGGCCATTGAGACCGACATTAGTTTGGACACCCATTTTCAACAATCTCACCTCTGTGGAAAGAGAATATACCGGTAAATACACTAGAAGGTTCCTGGGGAAACTTTTACGGGGACTGCCATGCTGCTGCAAATATAAATTTTTAATTTGACTATATTACCGGGTATATATACCGGTATACTATATACCAAAAACATGCATGTTAGGCTGCCTTCAGGCCCAGGCCTCCCTTGCAAAAGAGATCTGTAATGGTTGCCTGCCTGGTTAAATAAAAGGTTAATAAATATTATGTTTTTGGGTCCGCGCTCAGCTACCACTATACCAAATTTCAGCTGAATAGCTCTAAAAATATCTGAGTTATTGTATTTTTAGCTAAGGTGGCCATCTTAGATTTTGATTTGCATTAGGAATATTAAGACTCGCTCTCAGCTATGACCAGAGCTAATTTCAGCCCAATATCTCAAAGAAAGATTGAGTTATATCAGTTAGAAGCTGTTGAGTTCAGTCAGGCATTTTGTATGGGGAAATGTTGCCTTTGTTTGCAAATTACGTCGCCACGGTAACTCGAAACACCAATAAAAGTAATAGCACACATCACAGTGCAGAGCCAGTTGTTTTGAGTTTTGAGTAAAGTTAAGAAACCCTTTGTTAGGTGGATTATGATAGGTGCTGCCTCTTACTAGGCAGTCCCAAAAAATATCCTTTTGACATGGCTAGATCTTGGCATAGGCTAGGCTATGGGTGGGAAACTTTAGGCACCTTGCAATTCGAGTATGATTCAGGGGACTGCAATGTGATTACCAAACAGTTACTGATGTAGCTCGATGCATCTTTAGACTAAAAACAAAATCCAGACCATAAAAAGCAGTTTTCATACAAACAAGGTTTTGGGAACAAAAAGAGGATTACCCACTACCCTGAAGGTGACCAATCTAACAAATTAGCAAAGAAACAAAAGTATGCTTTTTACCACTTCAGCTTTTGTTCAGTCCATGCACAGTATTTGAATGTGTTTGTATGACCTCTCAGCTGGTAGAAAAGTAAGCACACATCTAAAATTTTAATAGGAAATCTATAAGAACTTCCCAGTGTTTAAAATAAATAGGCTTAAAATGAGCTTCGTAAGGGTGTCGAACTCTGTTACCAAAAGGAGCCAAAATTTAAAAACTTTGTCTGAGCCACGGGCACTTTCAGCTGAAACATTAACTCGAGTCAGATACCAGATATATTTTCTTTGTTGCAGGTTCTTGAACAAGAGTTGGATCCGTCTCATTTGATGTTCTGTTGCTCTTTCCACATCAGAATCAATAATGGCAGAATGATCCAGCCTTCTTTCTGGCGTCAAAGTTAGCCAGCTGGCATAAGAAGTCGATACTAAATGACATATTTATCTTTTTTTTTAAAGAATAAATTAGAAGAGATACAATATTTTACATTTAAATTATCATCTTGGGGGACCAGATTTGGCCCACGGCTCTTGAGTTGGACATATGTGATGGCCAATTTTGGCCTTAAAAGAGAAGAGTTGGAAGCTCCGTAGTCTGGAGAAAGCTCAGGTTAGAGCTGCTCCTCTACACAGAAGGAGTCAGCTGAGATGGTTAAAGTACCGGTATCTCATTAGGAAGCCTTCTGAACATCTCTTTGGGGGGTTTCCAGGCATGTTCCAATGGAAAAGACACTGGGGCAGACCCAGAACTCACAAGGAGGAACAAATATTCTGGATTATTCAGGCAAACTAAATGCAACAAATTGGTGCCTTAAACCTGTGGTTCCCAACCCTAGTCCTTGAGGAACACCATCTTGCATGTTTTAGTTATTTCCCTGCTTTGACACACCTGAAATGAATGGGTGATTAACAGGCTTCTGCAGAACTTGAGCAAGTAATTAAATGATTGAATCAGGTGTGTCGGAGCAGGGAAACAACTAAAACATGCAGGATGGTGTTTCTCGAGAACCAGGGTTGGGAACCACTGCCTTAAACAACAAACTTGTACCGGTAGCTATTGTTGGTGGTGAAAATTATGTAACCCAAGCCACTGACATAAGTTTTGTTGTAGTCCCAAAAAATGTTTCCCTGACCTAAACTGGAACCTCAGTAGTGTAGTCACTACTGGTTTTAAAGTTGGACACAAGCTTAAGGAAAGAAACACCTGACCAGTTTCCCATTGCCAACAGTTCATAGTCTGACTCCATATTTACCACACCAACAATGACCTCCTTGTATCGAGGTTTCCTTTCAAACTGAAGCTACCACACCTGTTACCGTGTTTCAGGTCGTTAAAATTTATTTTTTGAAAAGACAGATGAGAGTGGTTTTAAGTACAGTAAAAATATGAGAACTCAGTTAAAAGAAAAGCAAGTGAAATAACCCATTACGAATATGGTATTGTTAAAACATCACTTGTTGCCAAAAACAAAATAAGATCATGTAAATGTCTTTACCTGGGTGATGTGCAATCCTGGGTTATAAGCTGTCCACATTATAGCACTAATCACTTGGTCCCTAGCCCCTCATCCTGCATTTGGCCGATTGGCGTTCAAGTTGTTCTTCTGGTCCCAATTCCACTTTATAGTGAACAAATATTTTTGCTTCTTATCTTGTCATTTAATCATTTTTAGCTACACCTGTAAAAGGTTGGAATAGAAAAGTACCACGCAAAAGCTACCAGTTTTACTGTTCTAGGATTATAAATACCAATACCTACAATTTTTTTTTTCAACTGCCAGATCTGCATATAGCTGAGGATGAAGGCTCAGGGACAAAATAACTTTTGAAACTAGGAAATCCCAACCCCACACACAAGCCCTAATCAGTGCATCGCATAATTAGTATAAACTGCATGACATGTGGGAATAGGTTTTTGGCATTGCATCCCAGGTGAATATTTCGAAAAAATAAAAGGATGGAAAAACAACAACACCACGGCTACACTTCCCAAAGCAGTGAAACATAGTTAAACATCGGTGGACTGTGGATGCAAGACAAAAGTGACACATTCAAAATTATTCAACCTGCACAATCAGGCCCGTACCTCCCATATTAACGGCTCCACGAGGACCCAGCTCACCCCCTCTCATTTCCTGTTCTCTCTGAAAGAAGTGAAGAAGATCCTTAAGAACTGCTAAAAATACAAACCATTAGCAGAAAGATGATGGTGAACCCTTCAAATTTTGTTTTAACTGCTTTTAAACACAACCACAAAGGAAAGGAACTGTCATATTTACCTTGTTTTTTAACATCATTTACCTTTTTAATACATATAAAAATGTTAATCATTAAAACAATAAATAGGTTTTATGCCTAGCTTTACCGCAACAATCCTATACTGTAGCTCAATTCAGGTACTCGTGTTGAACCTGAAACACCAAGTCACCTAGTCATAGATAAGCAATAAAATAACTGACATGGTAATTTGTAAAATAATCTTTTTAACTACGCTTGTATACTTTAACTAGCAACCCTTTGGGTCATGAGTCTCTACAGTTTCATTATTTATTTTATTGAGGGCGGAAGCTACTAGTCCCAAAAATACAAGTTAGATGAAAATCTTAAATCTATGCAAGACCAGAAAGTTAACTAAAGTTAAACTAATTTTATTTGCACGTGTTTCGGACGACTTGATGGGGAATGCAAGACTAAATGCTAATCCAAGTCTTTTTGCATCACATTGATCACCTGTTGGCACAAGACACGACAAAGTATTTCACCGACTGCCAAACTGGTTATTTTATTTGTGTATTTGAAGATGCACTTGAAAACTACAAGGGTGCATCTTGCTGCAAAGGGATGAAAAACAAGAATCTTTTCAGGTGTTTTGGGGAGTTATCGCAACTGCAGGCTAGTCAGTGTGCTGTGGTAGAACACTGTCCTAGAACCTCACTGTGCAGCGGGTGGTTCAATTGACAAAAAAAATAAATAAATACGTGTTTAACTTACAAGTAAGCCTTTCTTGTTTCTATGTATGAACACACAATTAAGGTAATTTCATAATTGCACCGCTAAGAATCCAACTATTGAAGTTATGATTGGTCATTCCAAGAAAACCCAGAAATATTCAACTAACCTGACGGTCACAGATTGCACATGCTGTGGTTAATGGTTTTACACAAAAAGCAAGTATTCAAGTGTTCCTGCCATTCTAGTAGCTTGAATATTTCATTAGTTTGACATTGCCCTGCTTTTATGTAACTTATTCACACAGCCGAAAAGGAGATCTATGATAGCACACAATGATCGAACTATCAGAATCAGTTTTATTATCATTGCACCGAGATACAACGAGAATACGTACGTAGTCATCCGAAAGATGGACTGAGTGCACGAAGCTGCTGCTACTTTATATAGCGCGGCCTTCTTATTCTTTTCAGAATACATTTTTTGGATAGAAAAAGGGACAAAGCCATGAGGAGAGGGGTAGTGGATGCAGTTAAAATAAAAGTAGTGTAGTTACAGCGCTGTACAGGTCTGTCGTGGTGAAGAGAGAGCTGAGTCAAAAGGCGAAGCTCTCAATTTACCGATCGATCTACGTTCCCACCCTCATCTATGGTCACAAGCTTTGGGTTGTGACCGAAAGAATGAGATCTCGGATACAAGCGGCCGAAATGAGTTTTCTCCACAGGGTGTCTGGGCTCTCCCTTAGAGATAGGGTGAGAAGCTCGATCATCCGGGAGGGACTCGGAGTAGAGCCGCTGCTTCTCCACGTCGAGAGGAGCCAGTTGAGGTGGCTCGGGCCTCTGTTTAGGATGCCTTCTGGACGCCTCCCTGGTGAGGTGTTCCGGACACGTCCCACCGGGAGGAGGCCCAGAGGAAGACCCAGGACACGCTGGAGGGACTATGTTTCTTGGCTGGCCTGGAAACGCCTCGGGATTCCCCTGGAAGAGCTGGCCCAAGTGGCTGGGGAGAGGGAAGTCTGAGCCTCCCTGCTTAGGCTGCCACCCCCGCGACCCGACCCCGGATAAGCGGAAGAAAATGGATGGATGGATAGTTACAAAAAAGATCTCTTCACACCTTGTCCTAACAGGACACGATTTAAGACCTCAAAAAACTCTGCCAGCAGCACATTTAAGAACACGTTACATATGCATTTGACGACGAGGCGTGCCATGAAGCACTAACAGATAGTCCATTGTCCTGATAAGATGATAGTCAGCTGGCACAGTTCTGATAAGCCTCCACATAAGTTGGGGGGGGGGGGGGGTTGCAATAGACAAAGCTTTTCCTTAGTTTACACATTTCCCAGGAGAAATTGATAAGTCGGTGTGTTTCGAGGCCAACCGGGGAGTCAGAATCAGATAAAACCACAATTGTTGATTTATTCAGGCAGACTATTTTTCCTTGTCAGCCTTTGAGGTTGTTTTCACACCTGATAGTCTGGTAGACTCGGTTCGGTTGGGGACCAGTATTCATGACATTTTGTTTACATTTGAGCTGGTGCGTTTGCATTCACACTGCACTGTGCAGTCGAGCCAACCTGTTAGAACCAACCTGTTCCCCCACTCGCTTGTGGGGGCGCTGCACCAAGAACTACTGAAAGAAACAACACAAAAACCTCTGAAGACACGTCTTCTTCTTCTGGAAATAAAAGCAAAAACGGAGTGGCATCAAATTTTAGCAGTTTTAGGAGTTATGCTTTGTCATTTTTCAAAAATGGACTCAGCATATGTGGAAGATGAGGCAGAAGACCATGGAGAATGTTGTTTTTCACACAAGGCAGCTGACGGCTCCAAAAGAGGTAAGAGAAATGCATTTGTTTGCCCTGCGCTGTACTCCACTTCTAGCTTGTGGAGCGGGACCCGGTCTGTTTGCATTCACACTGTACTCGAACCGCGCTGAAGTTTTCTTCTACCAGACCAAGACCTAGGTTTTAGACTGGGCCAGAATTCGCCTTTTTGTTCCGTGACAGAGTTCGATGGCGAGTTCACACCTCCCCAAACGAACCGGACTTCCTAGGCAAACGGGCTAGAGTTCGGGACAACAGCGCTGGTGTGAATGCACTCTGAGTCTGTACCGATACTTCCAAGGTCCGAAATGGCCAGATTAGGGTGCATTCTACTGGTCCGTGCTTACGAGCCTCTTCAAGAAGTTTTTTTTTTCATGCTGACGAGTCCCAAAGCCGCAGGTGGACTGTGATTCAAATCACTTCCAACTTACGGTTTCGCTCGTAAATCAGCTGATTTTGAGTCCTCAAAGCATGAACCAACCTTCACATGGACAGCAGCTTGTCGAGGTACAAATTAGCTGCAGCCATCTTCTTAGTGTGTTGATAAATCAGGATACAGACTATTCCAAAAACAGGAAACCTGTTATCATAAATCCAATTATATGCAATTTTGGAGTCCTCGTTCGACAGCAGAGGTCGCCACATCACCCCCAGAGATTTATCCAGTTGCATGTGTCTTGTCCGAGCAAATGAGGGTTCTCCAGGACCCTATCGCTTTGTTGAAAATATTTTGTAGTTTACATTGAAAAGTCCAGTTGGTCAGATCCAAAACAGTAGTTTTCATTTCGGAAGATGTGTAAAAATAGAAGGTGCTCCGATACACAGACAGAGAGCAAAAAAGCAGGAGGAGAACAGGGAGCGGAGAGAAACGCATGCGTCTCGTTAAGAGAGCTAGTGAGGAAAAAATGGCATAAAGGCACTAAATGAGTCTTTCTGAGGTTACCCTTAAATAACTCACACAGACCAAGTAGGCAGCTTAGCTTCACATTGGTGTTTCAGAATCAGAATAAGCTTTATTATCATTGTACCAGGATACAGTGAGATTATGTTTGTACAGTCGTCTGAAAGATGGTCTACCCATACGTTGTTGCTGCTACAAGGGCGCGGCCTCTTATTCTTTATCAGAATACTTTTTTAGTAGAAAAAGGTGAATGGCCATGAGGATGGATAGCGGTATTACAAAAAAGATCTCTTCACATCTTGTCCTGATAGGACAAGATTGAGACATAAAAAAACTCTACCAGCAGCACATTTACAAACATAATTACATATGCATTTGACGTCAAGACGTTGAGATTTGTCCATGACGCACTTCCAGATAGGCCATAGTCCTGATGGTGATATTGTTTACCTGGCAGTTCTGATAAGACTGCACAGAAGTTCTTGGTGGGAAAGGGGGGGGGGGGGTGCGCGATAGACTAAGCTTTTTCCTTAGTTTACCCATGTCCCAGGATAAATTTGATAGTCACCTGCATCTGAGGCCAAATGGGAGAGTCAGATTCAGATACCAAAACAGTCCATGCTCAATAATCCAGGTATACAATCCAAGAATTTTCAGTCAGGTCATCTGGACAATTTCTTTTTTTTTTTAAGCCACAATTTTTGTTTATTTTTCTTGTCAGCCTTGAGTCCTGCTGGTACTTTCCAAATCCAAAATGTCCAGATTTATGGGCAATCTACTGATCCGTGTTAGGAGCCTCCTTCAAGGTCAACTTCAACATGCTGGCGAGTCCTAGAAGCCGCAGGTGGCCTGTGATTCTCACAAATCGTTTCCATCTTATGGTTTAGCTCGTAAATCGGCTGATTTTGAGTACTCGTAGCAAGAACCAAACGTTCACACAGACTTGGCAGTTTGTCATGGCAAAAACTGCTGCCGATGTTTTCTTCAAAAGTTGATAACATAGGGACCCGCCGATGTCAAAAAGCAGAAACCCTGCTATCATGAATCCAATTATTTAAACGTCTTTGGCATCCTCCTGAGACAGAACTGAAGCTGCCAAACTCCCCACGGATCCCTGATGTATCCTGCAACGCGAGTCTCGGCAGGGCATGAGGGCTCTCCAGGACCCTGTCATTTTGTTGAAAAGACTTTGTCCATTACGTTGAAAGTCCAGCTCACCAGATCCATAATAGTATTTTTTGTGTACACACACCAAGTTAATGTTGCTCAACCAGCTGAGTGACAGCAGCATCATTGGTTAAAGTGGTGTGTTCTGCAACGCCAACTCTGATGTACGGACAAACACAGTTTAGGCCTATTATAGACCTCTGTTGCTGGCTTGGAGGTGTTAGGAGCATGTCAACTTTGACCTCATCATCCTCCATTCGTACAAATAGGAGACCAGCGTGCAGCAATAGGTGCTTTCAGAT